CCTTTGGGGCACAGAAAGCAGGCCCTGGGTGTAAGCTGCAGCTTGGACTCGGCTGTGGCCGTGGACAGCTCAGCCTCTCGCGCCTGAAGCGTGCCCTCCTTCCCTCCCTCGCTTGACCAAAGGAGCATTCCCTGGGTGGCTGGGAATGATGGGCACTGTAGTCGGGCGCTTCTGGAGGGCACCACTTGGGAATGGCTAGGCTTAAGGGCCCCCTCCTTTGGGTCCTGCCCGTGGGTCTCCTTGGGGCAAGCTGGCCCAGGCACCCGCCTTCTGCCCCTGACATCGTGCGCCAACCCCAGCGGTGGGGGGGCAGGCATGTTTCCTCCCCTCTCATAACGCTTGAACCGGAAGGGCCCTCCTGCCCGGCTGAGCTGATGGAGGAGATTTGGGAGGGACCAGCGGAAGGGCGTCTTCCAGTTCAGGCTCAAACCATGGAACTCACTTCTGCGCGGCTGCCAACGTGAACGGCTTGCACGCAGGGTGGACACCTTCAGGGCTGTCTGTGGTGCTAGTCCTCATGGTGCTACCTGCAGGAGCAGAGGCTGTAGCCTGGGCGGACTGGTTGCTGGGGGACACGGCTAGGCGCGTGCTCTGTCCTGGCTTTGCTCTGGGTTGCTGCGTGCATGGCGTGCCGGACTGCGAGGCCCCTCGCCTCCTCCGGCTTCAGGGTCCTGCTGTGTTCTTCGGGGATGCCCAGGCGTCCCGTGCCGGATCGTCCTCCTCGGTCCCCCTCCCCTGTCAGCGATCCCCCCCACCCCGGCGGGCCGAGGGCTTGCCGAAGACAGATGTTGACCGTGGGATCAATTACCCCGCCTGCAAAGACACACCACCAGCCAGGGGTTAGAGGTTGCCTCCCAGATGGCGGCGAGCTGGCCAGGCGCACAAAGGGGAAGCTCTTAAAGGGACTCGCCCTTGCCCTCGAGGCGGGTCAGGGAATCAAAGTGCTGATCCCAAGCCGGAATTCAATTCCCGAGTGACCGGAGGCACCCCCCAGGGACAGGACGGGCCCTGCCTCACGTGGGCTGGCATCCTGGGAGCACAGGAAGGCAAAGAGCGGGGCTGAGCGGGGGGGGGGCAGCTCCCCCCCGCCCCCCCCCCGCAGTGTGAACTTTTCTTCTTTGTCTTCTGCTAGAAGCTCAGGGCATATTCCCAGTGCACAGGGGTGGGGAATACTATTTTTCCGCATTTTTCCACCTTCAGCATCTTCTGAAGAGCCCGAGGGAGAAACCGGGCCTTGGGATGCACTTTCCCCCTCAAGACAAGCGGGGCGGGCGGCCCTGCAGTAATTTTTCGCAGGTTCTTGGAAACCCTTGCAAGAGGGGAAGGGGGCTGCCTGAGATCCCAAATGCCCCCACTTTCCCCCCAAAAGTTCTGAAAGATTTAAAGAGTACCCCCCCACCCCCCCGATCCGGTCCTCTCAACTCTGCTCATGTGCCTGTTTTCTCTGCCCCTGCGTGTTGCCCCCCCCAGGGACTTAGCTTGCACCTTGGAAACGTGGCCTCCTGCCCAGATGCCCTCTCTTCGCTGCTTTGGATCTCTTTTCCCCAGCTTGCCTTTCTCTGAAATCCAGCATGGCCTGCCTTGGACTGCGTCTCGGCCCCCCAGGACCCGTCTCGGGGGCAGCCTGGTCGGGGCACCCACCGAGGGCCCACCCCCAAGCAGGGCACTACCGGCTGGCTCCCTGGGTAGCCATGACGGGACGGAGCCCAGCCGCTGGGGACTGGCGGCGGGAAGGGGCAGGTGGTGAGGTCCACCGGCAACCCGGCAGCGGCCCTGCTTCCTCCCGGCCAGGCTCCCGGCCCCCTCTGGCCCCCGGGCACGGCAGGGCCCCCGCTTCCTCCTGGCTGGCTTCCTTCACCTCTCACGGCTCAGAGCCACCGGCCCGGTTGTGTGAACCTGCCCCACAGGCCATCTGCCCCGGACAGTGTTTTCATGCTCCGGCCCAGTGCAGCCATATCCGGACAGCAGAAACCCAGTTGCGGAGGACCCGGTTGCCATGGTGACGGTGGCCCGGGAGGGAGGGGTGGGCTTGGGGTAAGTTTAGGCGGGGGCTAAGTGCTCTGCTCCATCTCCACGGAGGAAGGCAGGTTCGCCATCGCTGTATGTTCCGGGAAAGAGGCCGCTTCTTGGAGGTTCTAGCGTCGGGCAGGGTAGTGTTTCCCAAACTGGAAAAGGCTACCCAGGCTGGCTGGGAATGATGGGAGCTGGAGTCCAACACATCTGGAGCACAGCAGGCTGGGCAGGGCTGTGGAGCACATGATCTCCCGCAGGTTGGTTAGACGTGGGGGCTCCTGCAGCCACCCAAAGGGGCAAGTTTTAGCCACGAGGGGTGTGCCAAGGCTGTTCTGGATTCAGCCCACACCATAATGTGTATACATAGTTGTGTATGGATTGCTGCCAAACTGGGATGTCGTTCTTGCAAAAGGGGTCGTCCTATTTCCGAACTCCTCAGGGCTACCAAATCACAGCTGGTTAACCACAACGAACTCATGAAGCAAAACCACAACAGGTTGTTGGGATGTGAACCGTGGGTTGTTCTCCAGGTTGCGTTCTCTCAGTTGGGTTCAGACAGCGCCACAACCCGCATTTCCACACGGTTCAGCAACAAGCCACACTCAACCCATCCTCAGTCATCAAGTGGGAGTTGGTGAGTTGTCTGAACCCAAGAGTCCGGGTCTGGGCACCCTCCGGGTTGGCCTTTCTGCCGGCAAAAGGCTCCACTCAGGAGGGGTGCCTGGCCAGCGCCGTTCATGTCCCCCGAGAGAAGGGAGGGGTGTCTACTCGATGAAGTTCCCGGCAGCTGGATGGGGGAAAGCGGCGTTTACAGGCGAGCAGCTTCAGGCACCCCCGAGCCAAAGCAGCTGCTCCCCGAATGGAGGGCAGGAGGCGCCGGCAGGAGGCACAGGAGGCCAGCAGAAGATGGCGACATCCGTAACGTTTGGGGGTCAAGGCAGGAGGGCTGTGCGGTGAACGCCCGGAGTGGACGCAGCCTCACGGGAGACCCGCTGGCTCCTCGGGAAGCCGGACGGTCCTTTGCCGCGTTCGTCCGTTGTCCGCCTCCCCTGCAAAAACCTGAGGCAGTGTGCCTCCTCCTCCCCGCTACTTTTTCCTCACAACAACCCTGTAGGTTAGGCTGAGAGTCAAGGATTGGCCCAAAGTTTCAGGGCCAGTCAAGGGGGGGTCAAAAAAGCAGGTTCCCTGAATCCCCTCGCAAGACCCTCCCTCACACCACGCCGGCCCTCTTCGCTACCTGCCCTGAGCCCCAGGTGGCGTGAAGGTGCTGCTCTTCCCCAGTTTCCTCCTGGGTGCTCCCAGCCAGTGGCGGTCACAGGTACACCTGCCCCAGGTGGCCTACAAGGGCTGGAGCCTGAATCCTTCACGGGGCTTCCCGAATCCCCATCACCTGCCCCACCCCGGGCAGGGCCACGTGCTCTCTGTCGCACCCGAGCCTGCTGGACTACCTGGCTTTTGGCCCTCTTGTGTGGCACCTCCAGCTGCCCACCCCCCATCTTTGCACCTGCGTTTCTCCCCCCATATCCCTGTCTGTGCATCCCCACCCACAAAGAGGGGTCCTTGGGAGCCCGGCTTCTTTCCGGACTGGATCTTTTCCGTACACCCGAACCTGTCCCTTCCAAGCTGCGTGGGACTACAACCCATCATCCCCCACCAGCATGTCTGACGCTAACCGTGAATGATGGGACTATGGCACCTTTAGGGGTGCGTTCTTCCGTGGCTTTTTGGGGGGTCGTGCTGGTGACTTTGAGGGGGGAAAGGGGGTGCTTATGCCATGGGCTGCTTTTTCCTGCCTTATTTTTTTAATCGGTGATATTTCCGTTCGTTGCTCATTGGCGTCGTTGGCTCTTCGCCCAGGAGCAGCGGCCTGCGTCTCTCCATGCACCCCTGCGGTGTCCTTTCGTGGGCTCCAGTGGCAGCCCACGAGCAAACCGCCCACGGTGGTTTTCTGCCGAGATCGAGTTGCGATTCACGATGGGGGCTTCCAAAGGAGAACGCAGCTCGATTTCGAGATGCTTTGGGTTCCCCAAAGAAAAGCAGAAGGTGGCATTTTAAAGATTTAGTGAGTCGCTTTGCCAGGAGTGAACCTTAAGGTGGAGAAGAGAAGAGAGGCTGGCTGCCCGGAAGTGGTGTGTGGCTGCAACCTCGGCGAAGAGGAACGCCCGAGCCGAGCGGTTCTCCTGGAAGGCCCAGGAGGAGCAGGCAGGGAACCTGATTAGCGGCTGTGCGGCGCTGCCTGGCCCATTGCTTGGGTTCTAACTGGGACTGGGCCAGTTAGCACCCCACGGTGTGGAGGTGGGAAGCTTGCCTCCCCCCATCGGTCTCTCTGCAGCACTGAGGATTTCGCAGCTCAGAGAGCGCTGCGGCTGGGGGACTGCACTGCTCCAAAAACAGCCCCCCAGCTCCAGCCCCGCGGCTGACACTCCTGCAAAGAAGGCAGTGCAGCTGATGAGTGGCCCCAGGCCAAACGCCCCTTTTAATCACGCGTTCACCGTCACCAGAGCGTGTGCTTCCGTGTATCGGCAGCGCACACGTCTCCCTCCATGGAAGGGCCCTGCGGTGTGTGATCTGCCGTTCAGGGCCACTGAATGCCCATGGCAGCATCCTGAATATTCCCTTCTCGCTTGGAAGTAAGATTCTAGTCCTCATGGGCTTTGGCTCCCCTTCCTCCACCTCTGCCACCACATTTTCTGTTCTTTCAACAGACCATTTTAGAATCTTTTAACCGTTTATCATACTCATAAGTGTGAACAAATATTTCTGTATGTTTCCTTCCCATAATTCCCTGTTCCTGCCATACTGTTGCTAGAAAAAGGCCTGCAGTTCCCAACTTCACAAAGATTGTGGAGACGCCAACCATTAATTTGGTGAGATGCCCAGGGCACGAAATAAAGGATCCCAGGCACTTCTTCACAGCTGTCCTGGGTGTGCTTCCAGGGGCCACCCGGCGCGCTTCCAACCCCCCCTCCTCTTTTCTGTGTCTGCAGGACGGAGATGCCCCTGCGGGTCCAGGTGTCCGACTGCATCCAGCTCAGCCTCAACGGACGCAAGCGGCTGGTCAGCGTGGAGGTGCACGGCCAGCAGGCTGTGCCCGACTTTGCCAGGAGCCGCGACGGCTTCGTGCTCTGGTGGCCCCGGCGATGAGGCCGGAGGGTCGTGCGCCGAGACCTCTGGGACATCCAGCAGCAGAGACAGGAGGACCACGAGGCTGCACCGCTCTCGCGCCCGGCCCTTGCCTCCCGCCGCACGCCGCTTTGCTCGCCTTCTCCCACCGTGGGGAGGCTGCGGGGGGGGAGCAGCACACACGCCAGGCTGCCCTGCGTCCTTCCACCCTGCAGGTACCCGGGGCGGGGGGCAGCGACGGTCGGCCACGGGTCTCGGGGGCCCTGGGGGAGCGCTGGAGCCGCTGGCAGGGCAGTGCTGGGGCCGATCTTGGCAGCCTGGCTGCGGGGGCAGCGGCTGGTGGCGAACCACGTGCCCCGTTCCCATCCCGCCCACAGGCCCATCGCCCCCGCAGCCAAGCCGTGGCTCCCACGAGGGCCTCGCTGCCCACCCCTGCTCCTGACGCACCCCCTCGCCTCTCTGCGGGAGGGCAAGGGCCAGGGGAAGGATGCTCTCAGGGAGGCCACACCCACGTGCCCCAGGCACCCCGGAGCCGCAGTTCCCGACGGAGCAGGATGGCCCTGCTCTTCCCCCAAAAAGGGTCGGGGTGGGAATGTTTGGGGCAACTGCTTAGCGAGGGATCGGCCGTGGGGCCTGGTGGCAGCAGCCGGTGTGGGAATCGGAGGAGGAGAAGCCCGGATCCTGCCTGTGAGGCAACAGGCAGGGAAGGCCCAAGGGGGCTGAAAGAGAGGGAGGCTGCGCAGGGCAAGGGGGCCCGGTCCCACCGGAGGGGGAAGCTCCCCCACACCTGCTTCGGAAGGTCCATTTCCCCTAGAGGCTGGTATCTTCAGAACCGCCTCGAAAGCAGCTTTTTGGTGCTCCCTGTGACCATGAAATACCTTTCCCAGCAAGGCTCAGCACCAACGTTTGCATCTTTTCAGCACTTCCTTCTGCTCCCAGACGGCATATGGTGGGTTTCGGCATCCGTTCTTTTTTTTTTCTGGTCCGTACTGATCTTTGCTTGCTTTTACAATGTTTTATTTTACATTCTGCATTGTTGGGTTCTAAGTCCTCTTTTCCAAAGAGAACGGATCGAAGAGATTCAGTCGATCCAATCAGTTAATAAAAAGGGTTTATTTTCAGAAGTGTGGCTTGAGTCGGCGTCACGGGGGTGCCAGAGATGCACCCGGCTCCAGCGCTCAGGTTCTGCCAGCTGCCACCCCCAGGATCCTGCCGACGGGCTTTCTGTGGGCACATATCTGGGAATCATGCTCCCAGCACCGATGCGTCATTGCCCGCAGTGCAAGCGTTTGCGCACGGCTCCGCCTGAAGGGGCCATGCAGACCCATTCGCTTCACCACTGGCCTGTCCTGGGCGGGGAGGAAATGCTTTGGGGATATGGAGCAACTCGGCCGCCTCAGTTTTTGCCGTCTCCCGGTGGCCTGGCCATGGAGGTGGCCGCGATGCAGATCCGCGTGTGGAAATGAACCGTCACAGCGCTTCGGGTCTGCAGATGGTGCCTCCGCCAGTCGCCCGTCTCTGGCCCATGGGTCGTCATTCTACCAAGTCCCTGGCACGCTTCATAGAAACAAACAGAGCGAGTCAGAAGGGGTCTCCCGGGCCATCTAGTCTGACCCCCGGCTCCAGTCGGCTCTGCTCACGACATGCCCACCATGTGGACGTCCAGCCTATCCTTGAACACCCGCACTGATGGGGCCCCAACCACCTCCCGGGGAAGCCCATTCCATACCCTCGGGGTCCTGACTGTAAGGAAGTGCTTCCTGGCATCCAAACTGAACCTTGGTTCCTTCAGCTTGGAGGATTTTACAATCCTGGTTAGATCATGGTTCCCATCAGCGGCTAAGGAACCATTTGCCTTCTGTGGAATGTCCAACACTCCCAGAACTGTGAGAAAAAACTGATTTTCCAGCACTTGCTTCAGCTCATAGAAACATAGAAACAGAGCGAGTCAGAAGGGGTCTCCCGGGCCATCTAGTCTGACCCCAGCTCCAGCCGGCTCCGCTCACGACATGCCCACCATGTGGACGTCCAGCCTATCCTCGAACACCCTCCCCGGTAGGGGCTTCGTCTAAGGCTGCGGTCCTCTTCATACATACCTGAGGGTAACGTGTTCATCTCAGCCGGATGCACTTCTGAGTAGACAAGCAGAGAATTGCCCTGTCAAGTCATCTGTCCCTCCCCGTGTCTCACTCTCTCTCTGTCCGTCCTGTGACTGCATGGCGTTAGCTGCACCAACGTCAAGGTTCCGGTCCTCACTTCCAAAGCCTTTCCATTCCTTTCCTTTTAGGACCTTTCCATTCCTGACTCCCACGCTGTCATGCTGCGAGGGGACTGCCAAAAGTTTCTGCACTTTTTAAAACTCCATTTATTAAGAATTTAAAAAAACAAATCACATCACTTTTCTATATAGTCAACTTCCTTTGCGGTGCATTTTCCCAGCGTTGTGCCAACTTTTTAATGCCATCAACAAAAAAGATATAAAATATAAAACTGCTGAAACTTTTGGAAGACCTTCGTATAATCCTTGACCGCCCTAGCAAGTTAATGGGCCCAGAATCCAGCATCATGAGAATCTCAGATTTCTTTCTGTGAAAAATACAAGTTTCTAGCCCTTAAGGTGCATCAGCACTTCCTGGGGAGATTTAGAGCCTGGATCTTGCCGACACCTTTGCTGCCCCCAGATTCTAGCCTCACTGTCTTCTGCCATCCCTCACTCCTCCATCCTGGCCAGATTTGGCTTCTGCAGAGAAGGACGTGCCCCTTGACTCTTTCCCCAGCCTCTGCGACCCTCCGTCCCTCCCCATCTCTTTGTGGCCTCTGTTCTCCTTTCCTCCGGCCCTGGTGCCTGGAGACTGATTCTGTAGCTGTTTTGGCCCGTGGCCGAGTGTTGCCGCTGGGAATCTTCTGTTCCTGTTAATTCAGTGCACTAGGGACCTGCATACCCAGCAGGTGAGGCCGAACACCTGAGAACAGGACTGATGGGGAGGGTGGCCATCAAATGTCCGGGCACCAGGCCTCAGCAGGGGCCAGCTGCAGGAAGGCCCCACAGCCCTTTCTCCAAGAAGCCTGCCTGCGCGCTCGCCTCTCACGCTGGCCGGGGAGGGCTGGAGAGCGCTGCCACGGCACACCTGCCACACAACGTGGGTGAGTGGTGTGAGGAGGAGGAGGAGCTGGGCAGCTGCTGACCGTGGCGGCAGGGAAAGGGGTCAGGCCCAGCCTCCTTCTCCAGGTTCGAGGTGCTCGGGAAGAGATGGAACTACTTCCGTCCAAAAGCACCGTTTCTCGGCTGCGTGGCCAAACGCGTTGCTCATGGTTGTTATTTTAATCAGTATTACTCAGGCTTCCAAGAGGCGCCCAACAGCCGGAGCAGGCGCAGGGGTGGGGGTGCCTGGCACATCCTGCATTCGGCAGGGGAAGTGCCTGCCGGGGGGAGGGGGCTGCCGGATGCCCGGGCCGCGCACCTCTCTCTCCTGCCACCCGAGTGTTCCAGGCGAGGTGAGCCACAGAGCCGAAGGAAGAGGCATGCTTGCTTCCGCTCACGAAACGCCCCGGCGGAAGGGGTGTGCGGGGGTGGCCGTGGGTGGGGGTGGGAGCGAGGCCTGCCACCTCCCCTCCCCTCCCCTCCCCTCCCCTGCAGTGCCCTTTCCCGAGAAGACGCCCCCGGTGCTGAGCCCAGCCGGCCTCGCCATGTGGAAGCGGCAGGTGCGCCGTGAGCACGTCAGCCGAAGAGATGGTGCGCTCTTCAGAGCCGTGAGTCAGCTGCGGACTTCGGCTCTGGTGGTGAGCAACAACACGGAAAGCGAGAGAAAACAGCTCAGAGCGGAGGCCTGCATTCCAGCCCCCTCCGGGTTTTTTGGGGGGGGGGGCTTGGGCAAAGCAGCAGCCACCAGCTCTCCTGCTCAGTCAGCCCACCTGCTTGCCGCACCGTCACTGGCTCCTGCGGCAGCAGTGGCCTCGCCTCCCCGCTGAGACGCCTGGTGGCCCACGCCTGTGCCGGGGCGAGGGCTGGGTGAACAAGGGGGCTGCCATCTGAAGAGGAGGAGCAGGGCGGGGTGTCCTTGTCAGCAGGTCCCAGCCGGGGTGTGGACCCTCGGCAGGTGTCCGGCTGCACCATCCGTGCTGGAAGCCAGCCGTGCTCTGGGAGGGGTGCGGGTGCTTAACAAAAACGGAGACTTGACCAAGCCCTCAGTTTGGCCCCTGGTCTTTCCAGGCAGCAGAGGCTGGGAAAGAGGACTGCTCCCTTCCACAGCAGCTGCTGGGGGGACACCACAGGGCGCTCCCCAGCGGCAGTGAGCCTAAGTACACCTGTTGCTGGGGAATGTGGGTGGGAGAGTACTGTCACACGCTTATCTTGGTGGTGGTGGGTTTCCTGCAGGCAGCTGGCCAGGCCGGTGTGAGCCGAAGGCTGGAACAGGTGAAGCCCGGTCTGTCCCACCTGTGGGGCATCCTTAGGTTCTGATGTTTACCTCCCGTCAGACAGGTAATTCCTGCTGGGAAATGCATTTCTCCTCAGCTAGGGTGAGAGTGCAGCTCCGGGGCAAGAGGGAACTCCCCGGGGGGTGGCAGGCAAGGCCACCCGCTGCATAAGAAGGCCCTCCCCCATTATGCCAGCAGTAGCTGATGCCCCGCGGCAGAGTGCCAGGAAAAACCTCCAGGGGAGGCCGGGGGAGGTGAAACCCAGCCCAGACCTTTCTGGCAAGGAGGCTGGGTGAGCCCAGACCCCCACCCACGAGGCGGACTGCTCTTTCCGGGGGGCCCACATCGGAGGCGGCAGAGGGCACAGCCTCGGGTGCTTGGGGGCCCCCACCCAGCCCTCGCTGACCCCGTTAAGTCCTGCCCCCGTGGCCCGAAGGACAGGGACTCCACCAAGGCCGCAGCCCGGCCGCTCGACGGCCGCCTTGGCGGGAGCTGTCCACAGTGCTGCAGAGGCGAATCCTCGCCTGCGACGGGGCGCCTCGGCCGGCAGGTCAGACATGGCCCCCGGAGGCCCGCAGCCCACATGCCTCCCAGCCGATGTGTCTCCAGCCACACCGGGCAGGGCCCTCCCTCCCTCCCTCTCCCCGGATCAGGAGGATCTGGCGGCCTCCAGCCTGCCCACCGTTGGGGCTGGATCAGGGGATCGCGGTAATCCAGTCCTTAAGTCGGGAGCTGGCAGATGGCAGGTTCTTGTGGTCTGCAGCCTCCGGTGGTCTCTCTGGTGGTCTGCAGTGGATCGACCCCCGTTCCGGACTGCCTACGGTCCCCCGGTAGCCACAAGGGAAGCCGTTTCCTGTTTGCGCCAAGCTGCTCCCTGGCCAGGTGTCCTCTCTCGGAGAGCACGGTCCTCTGCTCGAAATGTGGTTGGAGGCTATCCTGCATGGGAAGGCGCCCTCTGCTCGGAAGGCTGCCCAGCTTTGGGATGAAACTCGGAACGCCAAGTGCACCTGGAGCGCCTGAGCTGGGGATGGAACGGGCCGAGCCACGGTCTCCCACCCCAGCGGGCTCTGCTTCCATTTCAGTGCTAGTAATTGTGTTTACATTTGCATCTGGGCAAACGTGCTTGTGCAAATATGACGTAAGTCAGTATTCCTCCTGTGTGTTCTTCGTGTGTGGTACATGTCCTCTTTTTTAGTGAGGCATCAATGGCCACCTTACCTGCCTCACGTCTGTGAAAAAAGGAGATCCTTCAGGCTGGATGTCTGGTTACTGGGGCCTTGAACATACTTTGATAAGTGAAGACAGACTTCCTGTAGATTGTGCAGAACTTTCTCACAATGGGATTTCATAGAAACAGAGCGAGTCAGAAGGGGCCTCCCGGGCCATCTAGTCTGACCTCCGGCACCAGCCGGCTCCACTCACGACATGCCCACCATGTGGACGTCCAGCCTGTCCTCGAACACCCTCCCCGGTGGGGCCTTCGTCTAAGGCCGCGGTCCTCTTCATACATACCTGAGGGTAACGTGTTCATCTCAGCCGGATGCACTTCTGAGTAGACAAGCAGAGAATTGCCCTGTCAAGTCATCTGTCCCTCCCCGTGTCTCACTCTCTCTCTGTCCGTCCTGTGACTGCATGGCGTTAGCTGCACCAACGTCAAGGTTCCGGTCCTCACTTCCAAAGCCTTCCACCATGTGCATTTCCCACA